CCAGTTTTTGATCCCTTTATTTTTTGGAATAAACCTGGAGTACACAGCTGCTGATGTAATGTTCATTCTTAATGCATAGTTTTCAAACATTTACCCTTGAAACATTATACTTTTGAGTTTCAGAATTCTTGATTATCAATATCAGTCAAAATAGAAAAATGGGTTCCCATGATGAACGTTTACGGAACCCAACATCAGTTATTGTGGTTTCCCATTGGGTAATCCGACGGAACCGAAAAACGGTTACCATGAATTTCCGAAATCCTCAGGCCTGCTCCTGAATTATTTAAATTTTTGCAGCATTTGTTTATAATTGTAATATGTTGTTGTTTGTGTTATTATCATATGCAAGTGAATAAGTAGACCATTTCAGAATTCGAAATTTGGGACTCTCAATGCATAATGGGACTCATACTTTTCTGATCAGTGAGTCCCTGGGACTCGCTGCCGGTAAACTGTAAAATTATCACTGAGAGATTACCGCTTTTTCCTTCGCACTGTATCCCATGTTCGTCTTTGTTTTTCATGTTTCTTGTGCAAAGCGTGCCTGTTAAGTCCAATTACCCCATGGGGATGAATAAAGTTTTCTGAATCTGAATCTGAATCTGATCTAAAACATTCATTCATAAATGTATATCATATGATTTTATTTCTTTTTCTCAGTATAAATAACACGTACCCTGACTGTTCTACTCTTTGAATAAAAACACTTCATTCAAGCGTTAGGGAGTGCAAAGGGCTATGATGGAGGGGTGTTGCAAATCATGAGGACCTGCCAAGTGGTATGATAGCATTGTTTTATACATGTCCTTGGCTAGGCCTCAGTTTCAAAATCAGTCCTTGGTCCTTGGCCTTGGCCTTGGAGGCAAGTCCTTGGTCCTTGGCCTTGGCCTCGGAAAATTTCTCAAGTCCTTGGCCTTGGCCTTGCCTCGGAAAATTTTCCAAGTCCTTGGCCTTGGCCTTGGCCTCGGAGGCAAGTCCTTGGCCTTGGCCTTGGCCTCGGGTTGCCGGTCCTTGGACACAACACTGCTGTCAGTTGCCGTTCATGCTACTAAAGCATCAGTCAAACGCCATCATGACTTGTGTCATTAATAAACCAAACATGGTGTCAGAAGTGATCCTACCCACTGCTGTTTTCGATTAGTGCCGTCGCAGCTGTGAGTTTATTGTGTGCGGAACACGCAGTTGGGAGTCCATTATCGCGACCGTGATAGCAACGAGGCTGACGACATGGCGGCTAACGTTAGCATCCCAGCCCCGGAGGAGATGAAGCTGACTGGAGATGTTGCTAACAACTGGGATAACTTTCGTGCTGAATTTGAAGACTATTCTTTGGCATCCGGGTTGGAAGATAAAGACAAAAGAGTGCAGGCTGCTGCTCTGAGAAGACTTATGGGAGGCGATTGCCGCCACGTGTACAAACACAACCTGAACCTGTCTGCGGCACAACAGGAGGACGTGAAAGAAATATTGGACGCGTTGGAGAATTACTTCAAACCAAAACGGAATGTAATAAAACGGAATGTAATATTTGAGAGATACATGTTTGGAAACTGCAAGCAGGACGACAGTGAGCCAATCTATTCATTTGTTACAAGACTGCGCGAGAAGGCCGCTTCATGTTAATACGGAGAGCTAAAAGAAGAGCTGCTACGCGACCGGCTGGTCCTTGGAATCACTGATGAAAATGTGAGAAGACGCCTCCTTAGGGAGAAAGACCCGACACTAGGATCAGCCATTGATATGTGCAGAGAGGCTGAAATGACAGATATGAAATTGAAACTCATGACGCCAAAGTGCATTTCAGAGAGTATTCACGTATCAGACAAGCAACAGCAACGGGGCACACGAGGCATGTATAGACCCAAAGATGGAGAGAGAAGGAGGGACATTAATGTCGAGTGCAAATATTGTGGTGGCTCACACAAACGGGGAGCGGCTGCGTGCCCAGCATTTGGAAAAACCCAGCATTTGGGAAAACATGTCGCAAATGTGGGACTTTGAATCACTTCGCAAAAGTGTGCATGAGAAAAGTTCAATCCAACCAGAGAGTTAATGTCACGGAAGACGCACAGTTTGATGAAGAACAGGATGATATCTATGCTGCAGAGAGCATTGTGCTCTACATGGTCAAGGAAAAAATTGGTTTGCTACCCTCTCGTTAAACGGAGCACCCCAGAGATGTCAGTTGGATTCGGGGGCCACGTGCAATGTAATGAGCATCAGAGACAAGAGGAAGCAAGCGCCCGACGTTCCTCTACTCTCAAGCAAGACCAAGCTAGTTTTGTATTCAGGAGAAACGCTCAACTCAATCAGGGTTTTTAGAACAGAATGTATTGTATACGGCAAAAGACATATTCTGGACTTTGAGGTTGTGAGGTGCAAACAGCGCCCCTTACTGTCAGGCTCAACAAGTGTGGAGTTGGGGCTAATGCATTTCACCATCCCAGAAGAACTGAATCTGATAGGGCAGAGCAGCACTGGACCACTTACCAAGCGGCAACTGGTTGAGTCTTTATCAGATGTGTTCACGGACCCAGTCAAGGCGCTCCCGGGAGAGGTACACTTTGAGCTTGACAGTTCTGTGACTCTGGTACAAACATCACCACGTAAAGTCCCAGTGGCCTTCAGAACAGCAGTAAAAGCCCGACTGGATAAACATGAACTTGATGGCCATATTACCCCTGTGTCTGAGCCAACAGAGTGGATCAGCAATATGGTAATCGTTAAGCAGCCAGAGAAAATGAGGATCTGCATAGACCCCAAGTACCTCAACAAAGCATTAAAACGCTCGCACTACCAAATGCCCACATTTGACGACGTGCTGTACAAACTCCCGAAAGCTTGTGTCTTTACGCTCGTGGACGCACGGGATGCTTTCCTTCAGTGTAAACTGGACAGAGAGAGCAGCTTCATGATAACGTTCTGGACTCCGTGGGGAAGATACCGAAGGCTAAAACTTCCTTTTGGCGTGTCGGTCGCTCCGGAGGTCTATCAACGCAAACAAGATGAGCTATTGTCAGGGCTTACTGGAATTGAACCAATAACTGACGACATATTGATTGTCAGGTGCGGGGACACAGATGCGGAAGCAATCAAGGACCACGACGCAAAGCTAATCGCGCTGATGGAAAGATGCAGGGAGATCAAACTGAGACTCAGCCTAAAGAAACTACAGTTTGAGGTCAGGGAGGTCAATCCCCCCCCCGGTCTAGTTAAAATGGTATAGCCCAAGAGGCAAGGTGCGGCTTGCCACCATTACTGTCAGTTGCCATTCATGCTACTAAAGCATCAGTCAAACGCCATCATGACTTGTGTCATTAATAAACCAAACAAATTGCACATAAGCATCGGCGCTCTGCCCTGACGCTCCTTTCTTCTCGTCAGCTCCTCAAGCCTTGTTTCCATCCACCCGCAGACTGTCCAACAGTACCGATCTCTCTGCTGAACAAAGCGGGGCTGTGTAAAATGCTGCCCATTACAGGTGCAAAAAAAACACAAGCACCCCAGAGCTGTCCAGCAATGACAGTCAAATTTGATTTAATTGACTTTTTAGATTCAGATTCAGATTCAGAAAACTTTATTTATCCCTGTGGGGCAATTACAGTTTTGCGAGAGTGGCTTATTATAGAGACAGTCAGAGCAAAGGAAAAACATAGGATGAGAGTAGCTTAGCACTTGAGGTCTTGAGGTAGTGGTTCCAGCATGAAATAGTATTGCACATCGAGCAGTATTGCACAGTAAGGACACAGTAAAGACAGTATTGCATGTAAAAACAGTATTGCACGTCAAAGTATTGCACTGTAAACCCGTATTGCACAATGGGGTGTGCGAGTCTGTATGGTGGGGGGAGGGGTGTCAGGGATCTTGGAATAAGAGTTTAAGTTTATTTGGTCTCCCATAGGAGAAACTTGTCTCGGAGGACATTCCCTCCTTGCTGCTCCATGCATTGAACAATACATACACATACGTTACACCACATACATTGGATCATACATACTCTACACACAATGGACGGTACATCACAGTCATATGCACACCCCACACTGCCCTCATGTCCTCCTGCTTGTCTGTCTGCCTTCCTCTAGTTGTTTGTTAATTAGGCTGATAGCCTGCGGTATGAATGAGTTTTTGTATCGATTTAATTTGCAGAGAAGGGTCCTGTACCTCCTTCCTGACTGTAGGAGCTCGAATTGGGAGTGCAGCACGTGAGAAGGATTGTCGAGAATGTTGTTGGCCTGTTGAATAACGGACTGCACATATATATCCTGGGGAGCAGGGGGCTGGGGATGTCCGATTACCTTTCCTGCTGTCTTAACCAAGCTGGTTATCTGAGCTTTCGATTTTACAGTCAGGTTCCCAAACCAACTGATTATTCCAAAGCGCAGGACTGACTCAATGGTTGCTCGATAAAAGATCAACAGAATGCTTCTGTCAACTCAACAAATAATCTCAGACGTCGCAAGAAATGAAGGCGCTGATAGATTTTCGAACAGACACTTGATACATGTGTCTGCCAGTCAAGCCTGCTATCCATATAAATCCCCAAGTATTTGTATGAGGAGACCTGCCTGATGTTCATGCCATTTATAGAGATGAGGCTATGGTCTCTAATTGATTTAAAGTCAAACACCATTTCCTCAGTTTTTTCCACCTTTATGTTTAGATGGTGTTCATTACACCAGTCAACAAATATGTCAATCCCATCACAGTGGCTACTAATGCCAGAGTCACTCGTGAGCAGACTAAGGCTCGCTGTATCATCTGAAAATTTTACAACATACTTATTTGGTTGGGAGCTAACACAGTTATTTGTAAATAGGGTGAACAGAAAAGGTGAGCTCACGCAACCCTAGGGGGCCCCGTGCTACTCATGACCTCATCTGAGAAGACAGAGTTAAATTTCACATGCTGTGGTCTCTTGGATAAGAAGGAAAGGTACCACCTAATAAGAAATGGATTGACATTCAACCAACCAGCTTCTTCAGCAAAATGTCCGGATGTATTTAGTTAAAGGCTGAGCTAAAGTCCACAAATAGCAGTCTGGCATATGCTCCCCTGTTCTCAAGATGCTTCAGAAGAAAGTGCAGAATAGTAGACACGGCATCACTCGTATGACGGTTTTTAGTGGAGGCAAATTGATATTCATCCATCGCAGCTTCCACCTCCCTGCGTAGTTTCTCGACAATGATCTTCTCTAACCCTTTCAACACATTGGAGGTTAAGGCCACTGGTCTATAATCGTTGTCAACCTGGGGGCAGGGTTTTTTAGGGACCGGAATTATAATAGATTTCTTCCAGAGCTGCGGCACTTCTGTGTCTATAGACAGCTGGAAGAGAGGGTGTGTAATGGGAATTTGACATACACACAATGCTAAATTGAAGTAACTGTTCGTACTATTGAATGCTGACGAGTTATTTTGCGGATAATCAAAGTTCCTGCCCATGCACTATTCTGTACTCTGTGTAGCTGCTGAAAATGCTCTTCTCTTTCTTTCTTAAATAAATCTCATCATTTTTTATAAATACTTTTGTTGTCTTGGTTTCTCTGGACAAGACAGGTGCCAGGCCGGTGTTCGTTCCTCAGCAAAGGTTTTTAATAAACAAGCAGACATATTGTCTGGTCCAGTGGCTTTGTTTACGCACCGTGATCTAAAAAGCCGGGTAACACTATCTGAGTCAATTAACACCCTGTTATTAGGATCATACTGCAGATTGCACAGCAATTCATTGAACTCTTTGGAAGTGTGTCAACTTCAAAACGCATGTAGAAATAATTTAGCTCCCTTGCCCTCGCTTTCTCATCATGAGCCGACAGGGGCTTCTTCCATGTGCCCATGTTTGTCATGGTGTGAATTGAGTCCCACAACCTCTTTGTGTTGGAATTAGACAGGGCTTGCTCTGCCTGGTCTGTGTGCTTAGACCGTGCTGCTCTTAGTTGTCGGTTGAGATCCTTCTGGGCCAACTTTAGCCCAGTGTCGTCGCCAAGCCTATGGGCTCTTTTCTTCCTCCTTATACATTCAATAACCTCCTTCGTAATCTACGGCTTATTGTTTGCATATATTTTTACCGTTTTTTGAGGGATAATGTGCATGCAGAAGGAGGCATAATATGTTATTACTTCTGCAGCCTCATGAACATGTGTGTCTTGGAAGAAGACACTCCAGTCTGTGCAGAGATAGCTTCCTTTGAGCTCCTCTACTCTGTCGTTTGACCACACATTTACAGTTTTGATTTCTGGCTTGCTAGACTTAAAAGCTGACCTGTAGATGGGAAGTACGTGTATCGCTTTATGGTCTGAGTTTCCCAGGCGAGGCAGGGCTCTTGCAGTGTAGGCATCCTTAATATTTCCATAACATTTATCCAGGATATTGTTATTTCTCGTGCCGCATTGAACATACTGATGAAAGCCAGGCAGTGATTTGTCCATATTACAGTGATTTACGTCCCCCGAGGATAAACATGGGGGTGTCAGGTTTGTCTTGTAAATGCTGGTGGATACAGTCCGTGATCTGTCTCGCTGCCTTTGCAGCATTCCCATTTGGTGGCACATACACAACACACACAAATATGTTGGTAAACTCTCTCGGGAGATAGTGTGGTCGCAGGGATATGCACAGCAGCTCCAGATCAGGGTTGCAGAATCTGTCTTTAGTGGCGAAGTTCCGACACCAGCTGTCCGAAGCTAGAAGCAGAGACCGCCCCCTCTCGTTTTCCCGGAAGTGTCCTCTCGATCCGCGCATATGTGAGTGAACCCATCCATTTGAATGAGATTGTCTGGAACATCCACATGAAACCAGGTCTCGGTGAACACCAGCAAACCAGACTCACGATATTCAAAGCTTGGGTCCTGCCTGGTTGCTCAGCTCGTCCAGTTTGTTCTTGAGCGATCGCGGGTTGCAGAACAGGATGGGCGGGAGTGGAAGTTTGACAGCTCTCCGCACCCGCTGCCGAACGCCTCCTCTCCTGCCCCGCTTCCTGATCCTCCTGGGATGGCTCGGCGTTGGCGTGGGTCGCCGCTGTAATTCCACGGGAATGTCTTCCAGCATGCTCGGCGACGGAAGAAGTCCATAAACCCACAGGTTTAAGAGCTCGATCACGCTGAAGTGTCCCGTGCTGGAGAGCACGCCGGCAAAACACCGTGCTGGCAGCCCGGATACCATCAGCCATACAAAAAACAGAGGCTTCATTCTTCCCCAGTTTGATGCATCAACGCTCAGATTGACACACAAACACAAGCGCAGAGAAACTAGACGCTGTGTCCAGTGTGCAGAGCAACACAAAACAACATAACACACCACAAACAGCCAAACAGAGTGCAGCAGCAGCAGGGGCCTTCCTTCATGTCGCCTGCAGAGCAGCGCCATCTTGGATTCCATCCATCCATGCAAATGGCACCGACATTCCTCCCAATCAAAAACACTGGTATACCCATGCTGACGAGAAGGCGCAACCACCAAGCACCTTGTCTCCTCCTTGATGAATGTCGTGGCCAAAAAATACTGAGAAACAATCCACATCCAGTCCACACGACGCAACAACAAACACAAAGTGACAAAACAAACACGAAAACAAAAAAAAAAGTAAGGATCATGAAAGCACTTGCCGACGGCTGCCTACTTGGCTGCCATCTTCAAAAAAAAAAAAAAAAAAGCCAAACTTTAGGAGATTTTGTCCAACAGCTAAACCTGACTGTCGACAAATAGATGAGGAATCCCATCAGCTCTTGCAAGAGGTCGCTTCAACACCAAGGAATCAGTGTTGGACACAGGCAATGAACTGAGAAACAGGTTTGCCTTACTGTTACATGACCAGCATGCTTCGAGGATCACAGCATCAATGAAAGGCATCAAAGTGGAACTTTTTAGCAAAAGAGATCAGCTTCTGGGCCACAAACAATGATAATAGGCGACAAAGCCTAAACCCAATCTGCCATCAAATATCTTGCAGAAAGAACACAAAGGTAATGTGGTTTGCTAAAAACATGGTGAGCGATATTTCTGAAAAGGTTGCGCGTCAGATTCTCAGATCAGTTATAATTCACACATGAAAATTTGATGTGTTGAAAAAACAGAGATTCTGAAGCAATACTTTAGCCTTTGACAAAGAGTGCAATCCCTGAACGCAGAGGTATTCCAGAGTGGGCCTCTACCCACGGTCTGGCCATGGGATGAGCACTTCAGCTGGATAATGTGTCAAGATGGCTGTGCTTCTCGTTCAGTGAACGTTATTGACAAATTTTCCATTTTGGGGAACGGCGGCAAAGACGATGGGATTTATATTAATAAGCGGGCCATGAAATTATGAACTGCAGAGGTGCAGGGTTCGATTCTGG